CGTAAAGCACTGTACAATTATTAGCCTATATTGTTATCAATTACTGTATAGAGGTCGTTAGAGAAAGACTGTATATTAAGGTGTAGCCCATACGTAAGTGAGCCATGGTAGCCTCCTTACATTACCTTTCCTTATCCTTTACTCCGTACACTACCTTTCGGCAATACTTTTATCTGCGTTTGCGACTTTTTGCTTTTATAAAATTTTTCACGTTAACGTTATTTCCGGACATGCCTTAGTAGTAAACGGCGTCCCGCAAAGGGATTTTGGTCTCTACTTCCTTACTGGACTTCCGGACTGCAGTTTATGACATCATATATAATAATATTAAAAATATCAATAAAAACAAATAAATAAATTTGGTTTAATTACATAAAATTGAATTAATGCAGGGTATTTGTAAAGTGCACGGTGCCACCGATTTCTGTCGTTATTCACAACGTTTATCAGTAAATTAACATAAATAAAAAACTTAATCGTTGCGACTGTTGTGAATCATCGGAATGCTGCGTCCAGACGTCAATGCAGTTCCTCCCTGACTTCCGCACTGCAGTTTACTACGTTAAACTAAAACAGAAAAATATACCAATCAATAAAAAATAAATTAAATTTCGCAAATCAATTTTCACTGAAAGGATTGAAATTTGTTCCGCAAAACCATTAACATCTTATTAAAATGTCCGTCGATACAATAAAAATTACATATTTAAGTGTACACACACTTACTGGCAAAAATAATTTCGGGGCTGCTTGCGTGCAGCATTCTTATCTATTTCCGATCGCGTGTGATCCGTAATGGCTTCGAAAATCACATGTCTGCAAAAAATTTTCCGATTTTCTCAATTCGGACAGAGCGTGCGTGCAGTAATGCGGGATATCGGTTGGACGAAAGTGTTTGCTGCAGATCTTGCTGGTTGCGTAAGGAGTACATTTTTTTGTCTCAGCGCGAGCGACGGAGCATTCGCACTACACAAAAAATCACATCTTTAAGTAAACAAGAACCACCGTAAACGTGTAAAGTTATCAAACAAAAATATCTACGTGATCTCGCAGCAATACCGATAATAAGCCACCAGCAGCCGTTCTCACAAAGTGATCGCGTACCTAAAAAAACTGCTACAGTGCAATAACGGGAAAATGAATGCGAATTAAACTCACTTCATCCAGTTGGACGTGTGATCGGAATCCACTCAGAAACAGCGAAGTCGCTCTTCATTCACTGCATGAAAATGATATTAAATTTTAAGTAAACGTACAAATACGACGCAGATTTCATAAATTGAAATAAAAAATTCCAACTTCAATTACTATCAGAAGCAAAATCAAAATAATAAATGCTGGATAAAATAAAAATATAAATAGCGTTGCCTCAAATAAAAGAACGAAATATTCAGCAAAAAATACAGAAAAAATAGAACAAAATTCGTCGCATTTCTTACCAGGTGACGGTACAGTGCAGATGTGCTCGGAATCCAGTCGAAAGTGGTCCAGTTTCTCGGACTGCGCATTCCCCCACGCGAAGGCACACTCGGCTGGCTTAACTGCACTAAACACAATAAAACCATGAAAATTACTTCAAAAAAAGGATGCAACTTAGACATTAGTGAGACGGAATAAATAAGATACGGCAGTACAAAACAAAAATAAATTAAATACATACAAATTGGAATTAAATCGAATAAATTTGACAGCATTCTGTGAAATTCTTGCTAGCACAAAGATTACCATCAAAACAACAAATACCAATAAAATTCAAAAATATAAACGTCAATAACAAGAAAAATTACTTTTCAATGGTAGAAGCACCAAATGCGAGTCAATACTAAGAAATACAGAATAAATACGGAGAAAACCGCTGAATTAAGCAAAATCATCTGCCAGTCTGCACTAGGTTTACCTGCGAGTCCGCCAGTCCAACGTCTCTCGTCTTTCCCCCCCGTCTACCGTCGCATTCAGCTTGGCCTATCCCAAAATCCTCCTCGGGTTCCCCGTCGTCTCAGCTTTTGTCGTTATTCCCCATCGTCCGTTGTTGTGGCCCGCAAATTTTACAGCCCCGCGTCCATTATAGCCCCGCGTCTGTCGCAGCCCCGCGTCCACTACAGCTCTGCGTCCGTCACAACCCCGCGCCTGCCGCAGCCCAGCTTCTTGCCGTTCCCTCGGTCCCCCCACCCCCTCACCCCCACCCCTGCGCTGCGCTGCCCCTGTTAGTACTGCTACCTATAACGCCCCTGTTTGTACCGTTACCTTTATGCGCTGCAAAACCACATTGCGTACGTTGCTCTTCTGAGAATTTGATTTATTTAATTACCGTAGTAATAAAAGAATTGCCACAGAATCACCAAGTATACAGTTTACAAGTAACAAATCACTAGAAATTACACTGCCATCTTATTTCATATATTCAGCTTAATCTGGCTAGCCAAAAAAAACACTGGAAATTGTCACAATTGTTTTTTATGGAAAAGATCGTCGTCCAAGTCGGCCTTCCATTTGGCCGCCTGTTTCATTTCTTCATGCATCTGGGGCGTAATTTTAGAGGCAAAAAATGCCAAAGGCACTAAAAAACAATTAAATTACCTAAAAGCTAAGAAAATTATTAACAGCACTTACAATTTGCCTGCTGAGCGCTGCGACGCAAAAACGCGATGGTGTCCGCATCCAGATTCAATCTGCGGATTTCTTCTGGAAGGTCGCTGTCCTCCGGAATGGTGGATGAAATCTCGTTGCTTTGCTGGCTGGCCATGTTGTTGGAAATCTTGAATTGCAGACTGCAGATGACTTGACTGACTGCATTTCTGTCGCTAGCACAGACTTATGAGCTAGAAAAATCTTTAACTGTCAACACGATGGAACGTGATGTTCCATCACTTTCTATTGAACAATCGCATTGGAACGTATACATTCACGATTGCGATTCTCCCTAAAATACAATATCTATAATTTTACGCTTAAACGTTAGAAAATTCAACAGGTACGTATAAATATGAGTTGTATAAGTTTGTGAATGAAGTATAATGGTGATGTTTGTGATTCAGCTAGCCGTGCCATTGTGATATCGTTTCCTCCTTGGACGCGTCTGTTGAGCGTATGTGCGTGTACATCTGTGGCCAGAAAAAGTTCCTGGCGGCACTACGCACATTTTTTCCGCACGAACTCTACCGTAAGTTCCTTGTCTAATTACTATGCACTAATTAACGTTTTTTACCTATTACTTCGAAGGCTTACACTTAATGCTATTTGTTTTGATTGTATTCATACAGAATTAGGATTTTGTGATCCAGTAGACAGTTTCGGGACTTGTAATGTTTGCCCTGGCTCTATCGGAAAATTTTCACCACTGATCTCGACGAAATTTTTCTTTCTGCATAAAAATCAACTTTTTATTCTTTTTGCTTTCTGTTTCATACTTTAAGACTTGTTAATTAGTACTGAACATTATATTATTTCTACTTTATGAGTCCGAATGCAATTAATTACTGAAAATAATTGTTTACAGGTTATTACAAGCGGGATAGCGATACTATTAGGAACACCATCTATCCATAGGCTACACTGCGTGAACGTTTACGACAGTATAATTTACTTTTCGCAGATATATTATTCTGTGTTCCTAGTATTATATTAATATTGTTACATGTAACTAATTAGGGCTATACTTTTTCTTTACCGCAATTTATTTTTATTATCATTTAACTGTCCTAATTGCAGATAATTTACCACAATTACAACGGACTACGGCCGTATACCAAGCGCCAAAGTAAATTTCCCCTTAAATATTCGTTTGTCAACTATTTGAATAATTTATCATCATTTTTGGGTATTATAGCGACTGATCATTTATATCTGCTGTAATTACAAGTGTAACTATTTGCAGGCTGACATCACGACTGTGCTAGCATCATCACAACGCAAGTCCATATGGCTGAGCAGGAGCAAAGGTCAAAGCGGAAAATGGAACCAACAGAGTAAGCTGATTTCGTAAAAATATTCAGTGAAGCAAAAAGGTTTTTTAAAGCATAATTTATACTTTTCTCGATAATCGATTCCGGTTTTCAAAATTTATCAAGTATAATGCTGCTACTGAATAATATTCAATCTGCTGTACAACCAAATCAACCAAGTCTTGTATCTTTTTACCTTTATTTTAATTTGAACGTAAGCAAAATAAAAATACAGTAAAATCAAAATTATTTTATAGTTCAAAGACATCGATACTATTTAAGTCATCAATTAGCCGAATCACCAGTGATGTAGTGCCAGAGTTATTTGCAAAAATGGAGCAGCAGAGAAAACACAAGCCAGCTCTCACAGCGCTTGCTGCGGCTTGTATAATTATTCTGGTAATAATAATTTTAGTAGGCGATATTATTCTGCCTATCGCAATAGCGATGATACAGCAACAACAACAGCAGCAGCAAGTGCTTAATAATAAAAATCAATCAGAACGTTATTTTCGTCGACGTACCCGAATGGGAGCGTCGTCAAGTCTGGCAGTATCCTTCGTTTATCATAGGTAAGCTTGAAGCGCTTTACCTGGTCCACAGCATCAATTTCAAGGGTCCGTTTATTACGCCGTATCACGGAAGAATACCGTAAGGGGTACACTTGAGGTCCAGGGGTCGTCCAGAGTGAAGTGAAAGTATTTAAATTAAGCGTTTTTTTGATAGTTCGATTGAGTGTAAAACCTTTAACTTTGCAGACATGCTTTCCTTTGTTCGTCACATAAGCATAAGATTTAGGAGCACAGATGGTGACCTCTGTGATGAATTCACCATCATTTAATTCGTTTGTCAAGTCCCCCATGTAGTTTCCCAACGGAACTTCAGGATCTCCTTGCCGATGAATCCACATTAAGGAATCAGTATCAAAATATATCAGGTTACGTCCAACTTGAGCCATATAATTGTATAAGTGAAGGCGGGCATGGGCAGTCGTGAACCTAAATCATCCAACCAATAAATATTTTTGAGAAAAACGTATTTATTATATTTAATTTGCACTTACGCCGCAAGGATAACATTAGTCTTTGGGTTAACTGGAATAAAGTCTTCCTTGGACTTGTACGCAACTTGAATTACGGTGTCACTGAAGAATTCGATATTGTGAATTTCCAACGCATCATTTAATAAAAGTTCATAAAAATCTTTGGGCTCGGAAATAAACTGTGTAGACAATCTGTCCTCGCGCATCCCGAGTCGACCCCAAAAACTACAAAAAGAAAAGAAAATAAGCAATTTCAACTAATGTATCCCTAAGGAAATTGAAGACTTACTTGTTTAAAAATAACTTTGCAAGGGCGCGAAGCCCCAAGTTTTTTTCCACTTTCTCGGCGTCAATAGATACACCTTCTCGAAGTAAAAATTCTTCCATATACAGCTTTCTCTCTTCTTCGGTTTTAACATTAGAGGGCCAGCCGCTGGCCTCCGTTTTTAATTTCAAGAAATGCTGGATGTACTCTTTAAATAAGCCTTCGCGAGAACTCGGAAAATGCCAAATTTCGTAGACTTTTATCACCGTATATCCCAGGGATAGTGCCTTAATGATTTCCACAGAGCACCAGACGCCCGTAAGTGATCTTTCGGCGTCTGTGTGATGACAGCTAGAATTTTGCTGCGTCTCAGCACATAGCCGGCATAGCGGAAAAGTTAATTTTTCAGTACGATAGGGCAGAACTGGTAACCATAGACATTTGGGCGGTAGAATCGTCAGGTAAAATAGTCCGAAGTAATTTTCCAAATTTGCATCAAAGTCCGCAGTAATTCGCACGTGTGGGCCAACTGGATATCTCTTCCGCGAATTTACAAAGGGATATTCCGAAATGACATCGGCAAACCTAAAAACACCTATCAATAAAATCAAGATTATAATCCTTTCTTAACTAATTGTACCGTATTTGTTCTCCGGGCTCGCATTTATAATGCAACCGTGTCCCGTTGGTCCGGCCTCCATATAGAGCATCGCGGGGTTGAAGAGGTGCGTGAACATGAATATCTTTTAGTGTTTCACGAAAATCCTCATCCTCTGCCAATTTCTGATCGTACTCGCTTTCCCAAATTTTAATAACAGAGTATCCCATTTGCTCAAGGGCGATTTCTCGCTGGACGGTTGCCGCATGCAAATTCTCCATCGTTTGCTTGAGATGAGGATTTACAAATGTGCGTTTTGTGGTTGCGGGATTGCCGTGCCAGAAGTCGCCATAGAATTCGTAAATAATTTCCGCTTCTTCGTCATAACCGTCCACGTAAAATTTTCCAATCTTCTGTTCTCTTGCAAGTGCTTTGCCTTCCGTCATTTCAATGTAGCACAACCATTTACCACATTTGACTGATTGCGTGCGCTGACTAGGGTTTTTTACAATTGCAATAAGGTTTTTTTCCAGTATCCGTGCGCGCCAGAAAAAATGGCATATACCCGCAATTGTTAGCGCGGAAGTAAATGGGCAAAGCCCACCTGAAATACCCATGAACAACTTTCGGAATTCTTGAGAGCAAACGCGTAAGGTGCTAACATCCTGCTTGCAGTATTTGACGAGCTCCTCGTTGACATTGTACTTTCCTTTCTTTTTTCTGCGATCTTTTCGATAAAATCCTTTGATAAAGTCTTTTCTTTCTTTGTTATTCATCAAGCTGTAATTGAATTCCTCCCTCTTAGGATAGGGGATAATTTTGCCAAAATTTTCTGGGCGATTGACGGGATGAGGGAATTTACCTTTTTGCTCTGTCGCTCCGAACGCTTGAGCCCAAGCGTCTAACGATTGGGGATTGTAATTCAAAGTATCACGAAATTTTATGCCAAATTCAGGAACATCTAGTTGCATAATTTTTGAGCCGTTCATTATCAGCTTTGGAACTATCCCATTTCTTAGTAACCATTTCAGAACAAAAAAACCGTCGAACGCTCGAAGATTATGGGCCAAGACGTAGAAGTTTTTAAATAATCCGGAAAATAAAAACTCGCAAAATTCTGTTGTTATATCCCGGCCAATATCGCACGAGTCAGCAGGAAAAATCCATTCCTGGCCGTTGTCGTTTTGAAGAACGGCCAGGTTCGGAATAAAATTGCCCGTTTCCGGACACGGGTATGTCTCAAAATCGAAATAGAGAAACTGGGCCTGTTCGTGCTTTTCGAGATCCTGGTCCGTCAGGACTTCGGGCTCAATGTAGCAGACGTGGTCATTTGATACGTGTTCTTTGCACACCGTGCAAAAATCTCACCGCACACGTGGTCCGTGGTACGAAAAACTCTGGAGACAAATGATTGGCAAGATGGACAGACAAATAACGTTTGACATACCGTAATCCCGTTTTCTCCCGAGCCAGCAGCGCGATGATGATTGAAACACTCCTCACCGTAAAATGTTCGGCAGCAGTCCGAACAGTATATTCTTTCTTCTCCAGGATTACATTCAAATCGCAGGCATTGTTTGCAACGGTATTGGCATCGATGGCGATTTTTATGATCGTATCCGCGATTGCAACGGTCGCACCAGTACGATGTTTTGAACCAAGCCGGCAGGCTTTTCAAGACATCAAAATGGTTACTATGATGTAGCAAACGAATCTTTTTTTCGGCATATTCGCCGGCATAGACGATCGTATTGAGGTGGTCGACACTCGTTATCAGGATTTGGTAGTCCGGTAAGGCCAGTTGAAACTGTTGAACGTCTTCCAAAGTATATTGTCGAAGATCCAGTCCTGCGTTAGCAATGAGTTCTTTAGCCATTTTTGTCTGCAGCGTTCTGTCGGAAGCCGTACAGAGTTTTTTAGTGTGATACAAGCGTTCGTACAGCGGTATATTGTCATCTGCGAGGGCCTTAGCTATAACAAGCGCACGAGCCAAACAGAGGTTATCTGAATTACGAACAGGTATTACGCTCCTCATGGTCTCCAGCTTTTTGCGCAATAATAAAGGAACATCGTATCGACAGGATCCAGCGGGAAGGTTGGAATGGTGGATTTCCAGCTCAAAAGAATCATCCAGTACAAATTCTTGATTGGAATTGAGTACGCGGGAAACTTCTTTCATCAATCGCGCAACGGTTAGCTGATCACGACGAATGAAAGGTGTGTGAATAGGGTACGAGAGGTGACGGCTATGCAACTTGATTCTTACCCGCTCGTGATCTGGGATGTCAGTAAGGATTTCATTTAAAATTTCGTTCAAAATGGCTGTTATGACATCGGGAATCTCAGCAAAAGGAATATGACTGAGGCGATGAACTTTGCACGCAAATCTTTTACACGTCATCTGATAACGGCGATTGTAAAATCGTTTATCGGTTTCAACACGAAAAAGTTCTTTATATGAAGCGGGTCTTCGGTAACATCGTCATCATCAACAGCATTAGTATCGTTATCATTATTATTAGAATCAACTGAATCAGCAGCGTCAGCAGCTATGCGAGGCATTTTTGCAAGCAGAAAGGTCACAGCAACTGGTTCTTAATGACAGAAAAGTGTTCCTGACACTGCTTCACAAATTCTAACTCATCTGACTTTATATCAACACAATTTTTTATGGTATCGCCAGATCTGATACGTACAGACATGGCTGAGTCATCAGAGGCAGTCGTAGTACGGTTTTCATGAACAAAAGCTGCTTGGGTATTGGACGTGGTGTCGATAATGCACCAAGATAGGGTTTCCGGATGCGCATTGGCGGTGGAGGCGGAGACTGTTTTCTGGCGGTACTTTGCAAAAGCAGGCGTATTGGTCCATTCTACAATCTTTTCCAGAATATCCATTCCGACAACCAGTTCATTGCACCGCGTATTTTTATGGCGGGCAATAACGAACTGTACGTTGGATTTTTTATGCAACCGGTAAAAAGCCATGAAAGGATTATTGGATCCTTTTCTGACAAAGATGCTATACGCATCGCGGTACTGTGAATAACTTCGGAAGGTCCGGTCGTCCCGTTTATCAGTAAAGGTCTGGTAGAGCCAGTCCACGGATTCAGCGTTTGCTAATCTGATACGCTTGGCAGGTGGCACGAGATGCTGGTCCCCAGAATCCGCTGGCGCTGCAGTAACAGTATCTACAAAATAAATAATGTAAATAATCAAAAAAGAGTTAAGGATCAGGATAAGAAACTTACTTTTTGACGATGATGGAAGTGCAGAGGTACTGGGTCCAGCAACTTCAGCAGTCGGAGATGTAGTGACAACAGAGAACGGAACGGAAAGCGGTGCTGTTGAAACCGACAGCGACTGATCTGTGATGGGTAATGGATCGGGAAGTTGTTGATCACCAGGTAGAGCTGTAGGTTGCTGCAGAGTGTTATGTGGCGACAGAATAATGTAGAGATGGCGCTGCTTGTAGTATTCGTAGCGGGCAATATATCCTTGCACTGGATCAATGCCTGCAATATATATATACCTTTGGAAAATAAGTTGCAATAACAAACAAAGCATAAGACTCGCTTTTTAAGTCTTCCAGGCGGCCATATAATGGTGTTAAACGGAATATCTGGTCACCCACTGCAACATGAAAATGAAACTTGAGGCGTATGTTGTTGCTGCTGCTGCTGGCACAGAAATAAAAATTGTGTAGATACCGTGGTGGCAGATTTCCGCACCAGTTGCTTCATCTATAAAATTAAAGAGTTTCTCAGCTATAAATTAAGTGAACGAGATGATAAAAACTTTTTAACCTTTAAAAATCGGCTGAATGGGTGGTGGAGACCACGGACTTGATTGAAGGTGTAGTTCTGGCTGTTGCTGTTGTTGCTGTTGTTGTTGTTGTTGCGTAACTACAACAAATTTATATTTCAACAACTGTACAAAAATTTTGCGTTTAATTATACCCAAAGTACTTGTTGTCGGAGTCGTAAGAACATTATAGTCCTGCAGCTGAATTTCCAGGTCACTTAAAACTTTATCCCAAAGAGCTTCGCCATCAAACGCATTAAGATCATCCATTATCCATTACGTTTAAAGAATCAACAACGAATGAAAGCAAGTAGAGAAAAAAGGAAAGCAGAATAAAACTATTACAGTTATATAGTATCAGCAGAATGCAACTGCTACATTTTGCAGTGCAACATTTTGTCACACACAATTTTCCAGAACAGCAAAATGTATCAAGTAAAATAAAGTGACGTGACGGCTTCAACAGGCTGACGGCAGTACGGGCAGAGGCTTCCTCGGTCTAGGGTCGCTTTGGCGCACTGTCCGCACATGACCAAATGCTTACACGGACTGATCAGCGTGTTGGCATACCGCGACAGACAGATTTTACATTTCAACTGCTCAACGGTGCGGGCATCGTCTCCGACGGGTACTTCGGTGGCATAGTGCAAAAAATGCTTTTGCTCCAAAAAAATCGGCGTTGTGGAACTCCACCGCTTCTTCCAATTCCTCCCAAAAATAGAAACGGCCCTTCTTCTTGGCCTTAGCGGCATCAATTTGGTCTTGACTGAAGCCAACGAGCCGTGCTTTGTTTTCCAAAACTGTCATACCTACATATTATTATTATTATTAAAAAATAAAAGTAACAAACAGATGAAACCCACCTTGTATTCCAATGTCGGTAACAGGGGACTTGCAAGCTCGTATAACATCGTTGATGAACCGTTTGCCTTTTACATTCATCAGATATGCACAGGCTGGTGATTGGCGGGCATGTTCAATCCATGGTTCCAGATCCAGCGGCAATCCAGAAATGAAGACATAGCAGTAAAAACAGCGTACAGCATCCGGGCATACCGAAACTCCCGGCACAGTAAGACCTGCGTAATAATAAAAAAACCCATTGTCCTGTAAACAACGGGCGACCGGAAGCGCGAAGCGCTCCGGTCGACGTTGTTTACCGCGTCCGACACATTAGCCAAATGTGTCGGCAGCGAGCAACGGGGCCCCCCACCCCCCTTCGCCTGGTTTAACTGTTCGACCAGCAATCGTGAGTTGTTTTTCTTGTCAACTTGATAGCCAAAAGAATGTTTTGTTGTAAAGCTCACCGCAGTTGTAGAATCCAGCTTCGGCCAGCTTGTACACCAAGTGTTTTTTTTCTTCGGGCCACGGTCTGTCGTCAAAGGAAAACGCCCGCGCATACATGGTGTTATACTTTGCGCAGTCGGGATTGTTTGGTGGTGAATGGTTGTACTCAATGTTGTCCTGATCGTAATCCATCCGCAGCCCGTTGCATTCCACCCACATCTGTGGGAAGTTATCTTTAACTGCTTTGCCAAAGCATGGATTCTTGCACGGTGTTCGATAGATGCCCGTTAGACATGTCCCCTCAATCTCACAGCAGTAAACACAACGGATCTGGTGCTGGATCCCCGTGCAGTACCAGCCCAGTTCGGCGTACTCTTTCGCCACTTCGAGGGTAATTTTACCCCCACAACCACGAAATGTTTCAATGCGATTCTCAACACTTTCGGCTGGATAGCGCGGATCCCCACGAGGGCCAAAAGCACTTGCAAAACCGTCCATTGTTCTGTTAGCGTGTAGCCGTGCGTGCGTGCGTGTGTGCTCTGCTCTACGGTTTATAAAGCCCAGTGTGAACAACAAAATGCTGAGCAACAAATTGCTGAACCGGATTTTGTGGTCAGGGTGTTTAGTGTATTTGATTATTATAAATACAGGCTTCTAATTCCAACTCGTTTTCATTATTCTTCCTGACACTTTTAGTTAGTCTACCTTTTCTTCTGATATACCATGACTAGTCTGCCTCCTTCCAAACGCGGTTTCGTACCCGATAAAACTGATCTTGTCGGGGAAGCAAAGCGCAAGTTTGCGAGCGGAAAGATCGCTTTCCACTATGAAGGATTCCCTACCATGAAGTTCGGGTACGACAAGTTCATCTGCACCCGCATCAACAGTGACACCCAGGCCTTGGAGTTCATAATTGGCGACTTTACGACTGCCAGTCCTCCTGGACCAGATGCGAAATGGACGCTGGGAGAGAAACACATTTTTCTCACCAACGACCAGTTCATGCGCCTCGTTGGACTCATCTACAACAACATTACGACTTTAATCCGGGATCCACAGCTAACCAGCGGTAACCTGTCCACCCTGTTTCACCTCGGAAACGACGTCTATTTTGTGTGGTCAAGCTATGACAGTGTAGCGCTGGCCAATATCCGCCAGTTCTGCAAGAGAGGCAACGGCGACATGCAGGCCACCAAGAATGGTGTTTCTTTTGGGATAAAATCGTTTGAATCACTTCGTACCACCATCCAAGACCTGTCAATGTTCAAGGACATCAATGCTTTGTTGAAAGCACGTGGCTCGCTAGTGATTCACAACGAACCAACGGCAGCGGATTTTTCAAGCCTGTTGGCTGGCCTACCGTTCACCATGTATGGTATGTGGCTTGACCGTCTGCACGAGAACTGTGCACGTTGCGGGAAATGGTCACGTTGTTTACACAACCAACTGTTCGTGAAGCCAGCCATGCCTGTGAATGGGGATTGGGTACACTGAATCTAACGGATGAAATGATGAACGACATCATTACTGAGCTTGGAAATGGCAAACGTCTCATTGGCATGATGTTGTTACTGCGTCCTTGGGGCCAGCTTACCGGATTTGACGACATTTTGGGTTTTAACGCCAAACAGTTTTTGGACCAGCATAAGGATACCCTGTGGGAGTCTGTCAAGCGTATTGCTATGGAGAAGCTGAAGATTACGGAGATTGGAGACGGGAAGATGAAACTGCCTATCGAAATCAACAAGGCCCAGGAAGGAAACAGCGGCAACGGTGGTGAAGACGGTGGTGTCTAAAGCGACGGAATCGTTTGCGTTTTGTGTTACGGTAAAGCATGTCTGTGTTACCATAAAAATGTGAAATGTAAACGCTAAAAAAAGTGCTGATTGCTTCTACTTCTACCTCAGGGACATAAAATGTGAAATGTAAAACCCAAAAAAATTTGCTGCTTTTTTATTTTATTCAAGCTCTGCATACATTGCTGTGTTCATGTTAAAGTGATTGTTTACCCATTGACAAACCATTGCATCATTGTTTGCGTAATTTTTTGTGAAATAATGAATAATGTCTCTATATGATTCTCCGCTTGCGCGCTTATAAATAAAAAAAATGCAAAATTGACCGCAGACTGTCGAAAACGTTTGTTGTATACGTTCCATTTGATAAACAACATGTAAATCAGTTAACCATTCTCTAATCTCGTCAAAATACTCCACAGATCGTCCGTATGAGTCGAAAAACTCGATGGATGACGGCTCGCTTTGATAGAATGCTAACCAGTGTTCACCAGAACCACTGGATTTGTCCGTGTTGACGATGTAGGCGGCAGGTAAAACATTGGAGCGTTCGGGAAGTGTATCCCGGGCATAAACTCCTCGAAATATCCTCTCCGTTTTGGATTTTGGCAAAGTATCTTTGTCATTGTTCGATTATCCATTTTAGTTAGTTGGTAAAGTCACAAATTAGCTGACGAAAATTGTTAATTTCTATTACCGCGTCAAACGTAAGAAATGTGACCATGATCGTGGGCTGCTTGAGCGGTTGGTTGAAGACTACTCGGATGCCTAAATTACCCTGACGAATTAAACTTAGAGGGCCGAGTCCGGTTCCCCCTGGCGTTAAATCAAAGCCGTAAATACAGAATCCGTTTGCATACTCGTCGCGATTAAAAGGCAGTGCGCCAAAAGGACTGTTACGCCGTCCTAAAGTGTCTAGCAGACCATCGTAGCACTCAAGTAATTACCGTTTGCATAATCCGGCTCGTACGGCCGATTAGGAAAAGACTGTCCATCAACTTCGACGCTGATTTGAGACAAATTAAAGTGTTGAAAATTGAATGGATTTGTCTTTTTGTGCCGTTAAAAGCATCCGCTGCGACAAAAGCCACAAAAGCACCTTGGGGACTTGACCAATGTGTATGTTATTAAAAACAGTGCTTTGTATGTTGGCAGGTAATTCGATCGGGCGCATCAGAACACGTTCTATAGGATATTTTGCTGTTGTGGTCAATAACCGCTTGCTTATAGCATTCATGTATTCTGGAACCCCTGTAGTAATGCATTAGATTTTTTTTATGCAGATATTTTCAAATTTTCCTGCTGCTTACCAACATAACGGCGAACAAAAATTCTTAGGATTGCGTATAAATAATTTAAATTCGTCCTGCGCCGGATTCGCAAAATCGCGAAGATAGAATTCGGGTTTATGTAAAACAAAGCGTATTTGTAATGGAACTCCAGTTATCAAAGGCTTGTCTTGCATGAAAATATCCGAAAACAATTTTCCGCTTAAAGGAATGTATTCATGCTTTGCGAAAAGCCTGAGTCGTGATTGTTCGGCTGAGTTATTTGCAGAATCTTCAAAGCTTCCAGCGACATCCAAGTAAAAGCCACAGGATGTTAGCTGTGTATTCATCGCCTCTTTTGTGTAATTTAGCAAGCACTCAAACATTGCTCTGTATGGATAATAGATTGCGCAGTCGCTTACCAATCGGTTAGCAACCGAAACTTGAACTGATTGAAACATTGAATGAATCAAATTATTTACAGGAGCACAGGTATCCGTCGCTTTGATTCGCTCCCAACTACCATCGGCATTCCTTTTCTTTAGTGCTACTTCTAATTCTATGCTTAAATCCGGTAAAGAAACCATGGCGTTTGATGAAGGAGCTATATAAAAGTTAATGTCACCACCCGCCGGAATATTTTCCGGAATGGCGGCTGTGGGGCCGATTCTTTCTTCTTCTGTCCGGAATCGGTCCGCAAACGAAGGCGGTATGGCAAAAATGTGCGATTCTGCAGCAATGGCAGGTTCTGACCCTTCGATTATGGAAGCCATTTCTAAATATAGTCAGGAAGATCAAATGGTGGGACACGGCGAATTTTGGTAGTGCGTTTCCGCTTCGTTGGCTTCTTTAATACCCCTTTTCTTCCTTTTTTACCGCCGCTAGATGTTTGTTGAGTTGGTGCGAGAACTTGGGCGATTTTGTTGCCCACAGATTTTGCAGCTTCATGTACCGCTGTACTAGCTGCTTCTTTTAAATGAGGCGTAGCAGCTGCTAAAGCGGCTTGTGCCTGCGGCGCTGCCGCCTTACAACTGGTGCAACAAAACGAGCAACCTTGGAAAATACTGCACGCAGAAAACTACCAAAACCTCCACCGTTTTGATAGCTTCCACGATATCGAACAAATCCGCTCCCCAGCTGTGTATGACCTAGTAAATCATCAAATAATCCCGGATCAGGCGCAAAAGCTTTATATCCCATTTTCAGTATCTTGCCGGTCGGAAATGGAGCTTCACCATCGATTTTCCTGTTGCGAATTTAGCGTTGTCTCCGAGATCAGTGGCAATTGTTACTTCGATGTTGTCGAAAATGGGGCGTAAAAGTGGAACATAATGAGGCATTTCAAAACGTTCCGTGATAATTTTGAAAGCCTCAGTTGCCTTAATAGGCACTGCTCTTAAAACCTGCGCATACGTGTCACCAAGCAAAGTAAAATCCGCAACATCGCAATAAATATATAAAGATTGATTCCCAATCATGGCGTTTATAGCTTCCTGGGCAGTAAACAAAAAGTTTTGGATAATTATCGGTGCCGGCTTTGACTTTTTTCGTTCCGGTTGTTGAACGCTTTCTAAACCAGACGTATTTTGTTTTTGAACCGGTTCCTTCGGTATTTTGATGACGGTGATTCTGTTTTTCGCAGAAGCAAGAAGTTGTTGCTGAAAGCCTGGCTTTGGCGCTGGTGTCTGCGCAGGCGGCGGTGGTGGTTGGGGCGGTGAAACTGTATTTGTTTC